AGTCGAGCTTCAGATTTTTTTACAAGATGTTCCAGAAAACGGGAGCGGAGTAAGAAAAGGTCTTTTTTACCGAGTTCTGTTTGCAATGAGGGGATGCCGCAGGTAATTATCTTGAGAGTGCACGCTGTAGCTGCACTGACGACGTGACATGTACATTAAATCACAAGAAGTGATTTAAAGATGAAAATGTACCAGTGAGAGAGAGTGCAAAGTTAATGATGACCAGTTAATCAGTGAATACAAAGTGGGTACGGTAGTTACAGCCAGTTATGAATCTTAGCGGACCGTGATAGACAGCATACGACATCTGTAAGGTGCTTGCAAGAGCATTCGTGTAAATAATGTCACCATAGTCGATGCCCGGTATGAAAGTAGCAGCTATAAGGTGTTTCCTGGCATTCAGAGTTAAACAGGATCTATTTCTGTAAAAGAAATCCAGTTTTAATTTCAGTTTCTATATCAAGTTTTAAACATAAAGTTTAAAAGAGAGAGGTGCATTGACCAAGTATTTACGAGTCCACAAACTCAATAGGAACACCATTCGTGGATAAGAATGGAGGAAGGACAGCTGGTACCAGCTTTCTGTTTGAAAATAACATCCCTTTGGTTTTATCAGCATTTATAGCACCCATTGAGAAGGAACAAATCTGACTGGATGATACTGAATGCAAACCGTAAAAGCTGAAAAACAGTGGCAACTGATTTAGCTCGACAATAAACAACTGTGTCGTCAGCATAGAAACGCAAGGATACGTCAGGAATGTTCTGACATACATTATTTGGATTGTAAAGAGAATGGGTCCTAAGATTGAGCCTTGTGGTACACCATTATTGACAGTTAAATAACTAGAAGAAGAACCACTGTGTTGAAGACATTGTTTTCGGCCTGAGATGCTGCCTATAGCGATTTGAAAATGTGAGCATTTGATGCTCACAAAGCAAATAGTAGGAAAAGAAAATCAGATTTTTTAATTTTTATTTTGCATTCTGCAGTGTCACTTTGATCTCCCCGATACGTCTGGATGTTTTCCTCCGTCCCTCATAATAAAACTGGACGCCGACAGTGACGCGCTGTGGTATTTTGCTAGTAGTTCATAAGTGTCAACCAAAAACTCCCTGTTGTTCCAACGTTTCACTCCCTCCTTGCTGCTGACCTCGCAGACCGTCGCCGAGCTCGCCCACCCTGCACAGTCCTGCATGTGGAGGAGGATTCAATCACAGCGGCCCTGCAACGGGCAGTTCAAATCCTGGATCATCTGAGAGGGAACGAGCTGAGAGCGGGGAACAAAAACTAATCTCTCCAAATTGCTCCTGAACAAGGTGCTTGACCTGCTCCCACGTTCTAATTCCAAAGAGAAACATACTTTGTTGCTTCGATTTGTCTAATGTGCCGCATTGTAGAAGTAAAGATGGGCAGAGGTTTGCTAGTCTGGATAAACTGTGTAAAAATTGAACATTATCAGAAGAATGTTCAGCATGACCTCGGCACAGAACAGTAATATAGTCCCCAACATCTGGCACAGTTTTCATTTCTTGAGGACTTATTTACTGGATAAACAAAATGAGCTCAGCACATAGATTTCACTGCACCCTACAGCCTCTGAGCAAAATCAAAGGTAATGTGTGAACAGCCATTATGCAGTGATATATACTGAATATAAAATTCCCAAATGTTTGCTGTGCTCGTTTTGCAACCTTAAAGCCAAGCACTCTAAAGGTTTCAGAGTGGCTCTAAATATTAACTATAATATTTGATGTTCGTGTCAGCGATTCAGGAAGCACTTGGCAACAACCTTGATGCACTCTTGGACATGCTTTTTTTTTTTTTTTTTTGTCCAGCATAAGGCAGAAATATGTTAAATATGTAGCAGCGTGACCCAAGTCCATAGATCAGGGTTTATTTTTAGAAAAGGCGCCTCACTCCTCTGCTCCACCCTGCTTTTCTCATTATCTGTATCAGGGTTGGCATGTGCAGAGATAATGGCTGAACATCTGGCCTTCGTGAATGTGGATGTGCCACGTTTTCAGATCATGTCAGCAAAGGCTTCCAAGCCTGGCATTCCATGGAGGAATGCGTATCGCCCTTTCGTGCCAGAGCTTTGGACCTTACGTTGAGAAACGATGGGGTTGAAGCCATTTTGGTTAAACTTTTTAAAAAAAGGCATGTTATGCAGTGTCTTGTATTAATATGTGATGTTGATGTGTTAACAGTTCAAGAGGCCTTTGTGTCGTGAACATTTCAGCTACTACCACAACGAATTTTACCTCATTATGTGAAAAACTAACTAAATTATAGCCATTTTTGTAAAGGGTAAAATAGACTGAATTTGGCGGTTAGCGCCAATCCGATTGGCTCCAAATGTTAAACAGTTGTAAATGTACATCCAATGATAACTTTCTGCAAGTTTCATTAAAATCCATCCAGCACTGTACGAGATATTTTGCTAACAGACAGCCATAGTTGATCGCAACGGTTAACGATAAAGTTTTAAACACAAAAGCTGCACGATCCGTTAGTTTGCAGCTTAAGTTTGGGATCAGTCTCGGCTACGACCACAGCAAGTTTTAGCTTGACGTTTGTAAAATTGCCTAAGCTCAAGCTACTTCTTGAATAGCTGTGGCAGCCATCTTGAACTGGGGGTCGACTCCAAACGGTAATCAGTTCTAGGTGTACATCTAGTGATTATTTCTTGAAAGTTTCATTAAACTCTTTTTATGATTCAAAATGCATTTTGCTGATGGTACAGACGAATTAAAGCAGTATTGCACTTCTGCTCCTGGCAACAAGCAAAAATTACTATTATTACCAGGTTTTTTTTAAAGATAAATGTATATTTAGATAATGATAATAAATATCCCTGAAGGTCAGTACACTCTTGGGAGTTGGCAATGCAAATCTAACAACTTAAGGTTCATATCCCTCTGTGCAGCTAGATTATAAAGCTATTTCTGGAGCATGAAATTAGTTTTCTAACAGTAAGTGCCTATAGCGGGTTGAAATCCCTGCTCGGGGTGGAGGGTGTACAGTATTTGACGGCAGAATGCACAGGGATTGAATATCCCAGGAACGCCATGCATAGTCAAATGAAGCTTTTGCATCAGCACACAACTAGGACAAGCAGAAGGTTTTAATTATAACTCGGCTAGTCTGGGATCGTTAATCTGGGTATGTTGAAGCCGTTTTACCTGATCTGCGAGTGTCATTTCTAAAATGTAATATAAGGTTAACTTAAACAGCTGTTTTCCACAAAGCTGCTTCACTATTATAAATCCAACCTGAATGAGATGTTTTTTTTTAATCCTTCAGCTTAACTGTGACTGTGTAAGAACTGAGCAGACCAGTTGCTGGAGTTTTTGAAAGGAAACGATCCATTTTTATCTAAAGGACTCTAGCTGGTCAATAATCCTGGGTCTGCTTTGCTGGATTGTTCGAATTCTCCAAATGTTTTCAGTTGTTGAGAGGTCCGGACTGCATGCAGACCAGTTCAGCACCCGGACCCTTCTATACGCCATGATGTTGTAATGGATCCAGTTTGTGGTTTAGTAATGTTTTGCTGAAATATGCAAGGCCTTCTCTGAAAAAGACGTCATCTTATTCTAATATGCTTTTCTACATTAACTGTGCCTTTCAAGAGGTGTAAGCTGCCCATGTCAGAGGCGCTAATGCACCCACATACCATTAGAGAGGCTGGCTTTTAAACTGTGTTAAAATCAAGCCAGATGATCCTGCTCCATTTTAGTATGGATTAAGCAGCCTCTTTGGTTTGCAAAAAAATTATTTAAATTTTTCTGACCACGTAAGAGTTTTATTTTTTTCCTTAATCCATTTCAAGCTTTGGCCCAGCTGTGTTTGTGTCTCTGGACTGTGTTCGCACGACTTCGTCTTTGCAAGCTCGAGCTGAAACCAACATTTTGTGGGTGGCACAGTGAACTGTGTCCACAGACAATAACTTTTTTTTTTTTTGGAAGTGTTCCTGAATCCATGCAGTGAGGTCCAAAAACAGAATCAGACCTGCTTTGATGCAGTGCTGTCTGAGAGAGCACATAGTGTTGACCTTTGACCTTGTCCTTTGAGCACACCGATTATTTAAATCGATTCATATTATATCATGCATATAAATGGATATTCAAAGTCTTTCTATTTTTCCATTAAGGATAATTCTTTATAAATTGTTCCACGATTTTGCATCACAGTTTGTTACAATAAAATACAATATACAAAGTAACTTTATATTTATAAAGCACTTTAAAAACAGCACCTTTGGCCATAGTGATGTGCACCAATACTACTGGACTTTACTGGTGAACCTCTGCCCATCTTTACTTCTAAGACATCCAGCCTCTCTAAAATATTTTTATATCCATTCCTCATACTAATGTTGATACTTAACACATTTAGTTGCAAAATGCTCTTCATTTCTTTGTCGCTACCTTCTTATTCTAAATGATCTAATAGCGATATATTTAAAATGATACAATATCTTGAACATTTGATATATTTACTATGAGCCTTTGTGAATAAAATATTGGTTGAAGGAATTTTTAAATCACTGTATTCTATGTTTATTTATATTTTAATCAATGTGCCAACTTTTTTGGAATCGGGGTAAAAATATATAAAATAACAAATATCCGTCTATTATCTGGACCATTAAAACATATTTAGTTATCTATATTTGAGTATTTAAAGGTGCTGAAAATACCATACCAGCCTTATTTATAGAGCACTTTAAACACCCACAGGACCAAAGTGCTGTGCACATAATAAAACAATCAAGTAAAAATAATTTTATAATAAATAAAATGACAAGCAAATCCGTCTCTTTTAACACTCACTCGGTTTATTAGCGAACACGGCTTTAGGTAATTATTTGCACGTTTACATGTTTCAAGCGGACGTTCATGAAAATGCGCGCTCCCGTCAGAAGGACGAAATAATGGCAGGGTTGCTTATTCCGGCACAACACCGGAAGTGCCGCTGCTCTCATTGCGGCTCCCTCATCCGAGCTGCGCGCGCGGTCACACCTGGTCGGGACGGAGCTGAGTCGTGTTCACAGAAGCAGCTCCACGCAGGTGAGTCTCCCCGACGGAGTTTACAACTTTCTTCTTCTGCTAACTTTAGGTGTATTTTGCGTGGAAATCGTTATAAAGTGTAAAGTTTAAAAAGAGCCGCTTTCTAAATAAGCTACGGCGCGTGACATAGACATCAAAGACATCAAAGCGAGTTACTGACTTCACTCTTTTTTTTTTTTTTTTTTTTTTTTCCAACAGCGCTGGTGTAAATAACGAGGAATGCGGCACCGGTTTGAAAGTTTGCGGTAATTACTCGAAGTTAACTTGGAGTGAGATTTAAAATAAAAAGAATAATGGCAACAGGCGGGTTCAAGCCAAGCGCGACGACAAACTTTCTGGAGGAGTGGAAGGCGAAGCGGGAGAAGGTGAGGGCTAAAATGCTGGGGGACATCGCCGCAGCCACCGGCGTCCCGTTGAGCCCCAACCCGGACCCAAGCGCCTCTCCGGGGAACTGCCACACCTCCTCCCACCCGGTGGCCCGGTCCTCCTCGGGCGACTCTCTGAACAGAACCGAGGTGGACGCGCACCACGCCGTGCACACCCCGACGAGCACAGTGAAGAAGGCCGAGGCGGCATCACCGGACTTCAGCCCCAGAACGGCTTGCAACGACAGCGACAAGGAGAGCCCCCCCACCGGCAGCAAGGCCAAGGAGAAGAAAAGCTCTGGTCCCAGCGCACGGAAGGGGAAAGGCCAGATCGAGAAGAGGAAGCTGAGGGAGAAGAGGAGGTCTACAGGTGTTGTCAGCATACCTTCAAACGAGGTGAGTCAGAATAAACATTTTCCTTTAACTCGAGGAAGTGAAACTGTTTGTCCTCAGAAGGAAGTTCTGGAGCATCCTCCTGCATTTAAGTCAAAGTTGGAATAAAAGTGCTCACAGTGAGACTGTGCAGGATAAAATCTGACAGAGTTTAGTTTGTCACTTTAAGACATTTGATTATATATATGTCTCATGCGTGCTCCATACCATCTACTTCAGGAGAGTTATACAGAAGACTCGGACTGTTTAAAGGTCATGATCGAGCGTATCCAAGGCAATTGTTTTAATAGTTTTACATTTTGAGCTCAGAATTGTTTGTACATGTTAAAGCCATGCAGGTAATAATAAAATGAAATTAGGTTTTTGATGCAAACATTTTCAGATATGTATGCAGTTAAGGATGCACAATATTGGATTTTTGGCCCATATGTTAAAACTTATTTGGCCGATAACAATACCAATATCTTTTTTTCTTAGACCTACTTACAGAGAGAGCTTTCTCTGCTGTGGAAATAAAATACCATATTTTCTGCCTTATAAGTGGCTTTTTTTGTTGTTGCATAATTTGCATGCTCTTTGACTTATAGGCCTAAGCGACGTATTTGACTTTTTTCCCATATTTATAAACCAATTTTTGGCTGAGATATGTTTTCATTCAGGGCAGCACGGTGGCGCAACTGGTAGAGCTGCTGCCTCTCAGTGAGCAGGTCCTTGGTTCAAACCCCGGTCCAGGGGCCTTCTGGGTGGAGTTTGCATGTTCTCTCCGTGCATGCGTGGGTTTTCTCCGGGTACTCTGGTTTCCTCCCACAGACCATAAACATGCATGTTAGGCTGATTGGTAACTCTAAATTGTCCCTAGGTGTGAGTGAGAGAGTGAATGGTTGTTTGTCTCGTTTGTCTCTATGTGTCCCTGTGATGGACTTGCGACCCGTCCAGGGTGTCCCCCGCCCCTCGCACAGTGATTGCTGGACATGGGCACCGGCGACCCCGGTGACCCAAAATGGAATAAGCGGGTAAAGATAATGGAAAAATAATAAAAAAAAATAATAAAAAATAATTTAGCAGTACCACTTTCAGCCACTTAATGGCAGCAGAGTAGTAATAGCAGTAAGGCATGCCGTTGTATCATGTAATAGGTAAACGTGACTAAAATGACAAATTCAAAAAAGTTCAAGACAAAAACAATTGGACTTTATTTATGATACTTTACTTTATACTTTATTGTTTTTTGTCTTGAACTTTTTTGAATTTCCCATGTCCTGGATGATTGAGAATCGTCACCAGCTATTAATGATACAATCGGCCTGCCATAGCCTCCCCACCTTTGTTCTGCTGCTTGGACCGACCATCCTACCAGCTGCACCGCCCCAGCAAAATGCAGCTAATTTGACCATTAAAGTGCATTTATTAAGCAAACGTTAGACTGAGACACACCTTTACTATAATTTCGAGCAAACAAATAATTGTTTTTAAGTGTTAATCTTGTTAAATTCTTGTTAAACTCCTCCCGTGCATGCTCCCACGGCCGCCATTTGGCAGCTCATCGATTTTTAGCACACTGGCCCACATTTCCAGGTTGTCAGCGGTGACTCATAATAGATGCAACATATATGGCGAAGCGACATATTTATGGATTTTTCCACTTTATTAGACAACTATGGACTGATGCGACTTATAGGGCGGAGCGACCTGTACGGCGGAAAATATGGTACTACATTATTCTGCATGGACTGTCAGTTTGGCCTGCTACCAAATGCAGATGCCAAAAAGGGGGCTGAAAATGATGCAATACTTCAATTTGGATTATGTTTAATAGGAAATTTATTCATGACATTTACTCTGTAACACAATGACAACACTCGTACGGTGCAAACTTGTAAATTTTCACAAATCTAAACTCAACCTGTTCACAAGCGACAAGTGAAAAGTGCATAAGTAGTAGCGCATTAATAGATATACTTGACAAGTTTCTTAAATGAAACCTTAACTTAAAACCGAAGGCTTTTATATCTGTGAGTTATTTTGATGGAATGGCCGATGTCCGATTTTTAACTTTATTGCTAATATCGGCTGATACCGATACATGCCGATAATATCGTGCATCCCTAATGTAATATTTGTCTCGTATGACATTTCACGGTTTTCGAGGTCACCTTTCTTCATAATGAACACAGGCTTGTCTTTTAAGATTTTAATGTCATTTCATTTATATAGTGCATAAAACCAACCAAAGCTGACCAAAGTGGTTTACAATTAAGTCAAATTAAACTGAAAACAAGAAAAAAATAACAAGAAAATACATTTTGTGTCACTCAGGAAACGCAAAGTTAATAAAATACTGCGCACGGCAACAAGAAAACTCAGCTCTGGTTCTCAAGCTGTTAGTGGATCAAACAAGGAAGTCTTGAGCAAAGATTTAAAACTCTCAGCGCCCTTTAAATGATCAGGTGAACTATTCCACAGTTTTGGAGCAGCAAAGATTTTTATAGTGGAAATGATAAACCAAATCAGTCCACAAGATTCCTGTATAAGTACTTAGACTTGCAGGGTCAAGGTATATTTCATAGAGGAAAGTGACAAATTATCAGAAGTTTGCCCTCCGCTGAACTTTACACAGCTGCAACTCGTTTTACCTTTTGTCATTTTAATGTTTAACTTTAATTTTTGTCATTTTCATGGTAGCAGAACCATGTTGAAGATAGCTTAGAAAAACATTTCTAGAGGTAAGTGCGGAAGCACGTCCACAAATAAATGGAAGCAAAGAACGGCGCTTGTTTCCACCAAAGTCTCCAAATTCCTCTCATACATGTGTCTGGTTTAATCGGCCCGCTGTAGGGAGAAAAATGAAAGCAGCTCTGGGAGGGTGGGGGGAGTGCTGTGTGTGTGTGTGAAGGTGGTGGTGCACATTCGTTGTCGTTGAATTTGAATTATGTCACACTCCTGCCTAATTCCTGTGGTTCACACACATTCAGGATCTCTGATATGAAGCAGTGCCAGTCAGCCCAGTGAGGGCCACCACTGTGATTATGTACTTGCAAATGCACTCGGATTGTACAGAAATGTTGAAAATAAATGTTTTTTTATTTTCATGTTTTCATTAAGCTCATGTCCGTAAAGGTGGTCCATAACTTCCCGGCTTCCCCAATTAAGTATCCACCCAGGACTCTGTGCCTTCAGGGGATTTTGACCAGTTCGTCTGTTGGCTCCACATCCTGTTATTAAGTGATGTTGAGCAAAGCCATTCTAACACTAGTCACAAGCCAGAGGTGGAATGCTGGAATTTAGCACTCTGGACTTTGCCAAATATGTTAGACGGAGCCCACGGGCGAATGTAAAGTCTGTGAACGGACCATAATGTATCTGAGGTTGAGCTTTGTTTGTGTGAGTGAGGCAGAGAGGAAGCACTTGGAAGTATCTGATCCCAGCTGGAGCACAGTACAGTTAGTGTATGACTGTGTCACCATCTTCATTCTGATCTGATAACCTGGTTTTGTTTTTGCTCTTGAACTGTTGTATAACTTTATCCCCATCATGTGAGGATTCCTTGTCAGCTTAGGTTAAAGAGCCAATATTATAAATATTAAGAAGCTTAAATGTTAATGGTGTCAGTTTTAAACATATTTACTCACAGTAATGTTACCAGAATAACTTCAGGGGTTCCCAACCCTGGTCCTTGAGGAACACCACCTTGCTTTGACGCACCTGATTTGAATGAATGGGTGATTAACAGGCTTCTTCAGAAGTTGACCAAGTAATTAAATCACCGAATCAGGTGTGTTGGAGCAGGGAAACGACTAAAACATGCAGGATGGCGTTCCTCAAGGAACCACTGACTTATGTAATTCAGTTTAAGCTTCTGCATTTTGCTCCTCTTCTTGAGCAACGTATCACTTAAGACTGTTGTATGCAAAACAACTTTTAATTTTTATTAGGAGGGTTGGGTCAAACAAGCTACTTGAATTATGCAAATGTGTTACATGGTGACCTAGACAAGTTCTGAAATAAAAGCCTGAGCCCAAACAAGATGCTTAAGGCTTAAATCAATCTTAATCCTGTGTGTACACTGCCCTGCATGTTTTAGATGCTTCCCAGCTTCAGCACAACTGGTTTAATTTGAAGTCAACGGGCTTCAGCAGAACGTGATGACGAGCTGTTGAGGCGACTAATTTCATTGAATCAGGTGTTGAAGTGGGGAAACGTCTAAAACGTGCAGGGCAGTGTGCGTTAAGTCGGGATCGGGGAGAAAAAGTGATTCAGGCCAGAACAGAAGTAGTTTTTAAAGCAAACAATTGTTTATGATAGTGACATATGTAGGAAAAAAATGTAGAAAGAAATGCTAAACCAGAATTTTTTGTTTAAATAATGAATGTTCTTGAGACGAGTTGCCTGTAATGTGAAATATAATTCACTTTGGACAAGCCGTTTTGGGTTTTTTGGGTTATGATATTAAAAGTAGCCAATTTTACATATTTTTAGTTTGTTTTGCATTAAAGTAAGAACAGAAACACAAATGTTCAAAAATACTGATGGTTTAAAAACAAATCCGTGATTTAGAACAGTGGTTCCCAACATTGGTCCTTGAGGAACACCATCCTGCATGTTTTAGTTATATCCCTTCTCAACACCTGATTCAGTGATTTAATTACTTCCTCATGTTCTACAAAAGCCTGTAAATCACCCATTTATTAAAATCTGGTATGTCGGAGCAGAGAAACGACTAAAACATACAGGATGGTGTTCCTCAAGGGCCAGGGTTGGGAACCCTCGAGTTAGAAGAAAAAGGAAAAAGGCAGACTGGAACCCCTGGGTACAGTTGTTGTTGTTTATGTACTTAATGTAGATCTGGACAATATATTGAGTGTATTTGAAATGTGTAATGAACTACAAATTTAACAGCTTTTTTTTATTTTTTAACCTTATGCAAATTCTTTTAAGTGTGTAACTTTTCCCAGCTCTTTCAAATGCATCATAGCTCTGTCCCCCTGGAAATCTGAAAACCTGTG